GCTTTGCGTTTATTGCCGCCGAGAGATCGCATTCAGAAACCCATACAGCGTTATATAAAAATCCAACCCGGAAGCTCGATGGGAAAAGGAACTGGATTGTAATCGCTTTGTCTTCTCCCAACAGTTCTAAGAGCTCATTAAATGTATCGAGTTACAAAATTGTCAAGAAGTGGAGGAACTTATTAATTACAACACCCGGTATACCGAAGCGTTTATAGGCGCCTTGTTGTTTTTCGTACCGAATATCAATAAGGAATGACCGAGCAGTATTCTAACGGCTAAAAGAGACTGATGATTAAGGATTGGGTCGTAGCGATCTGATTGCTTCTTAAGTGAGACCAGCACCGTTGCATTTGTCCCATATAGAAGCAGTGAGGAACAGTCACAAATCAAATAAAAATATAACGCATTATCAATGTTCAATTAATATTATAGCTCGGATAGTCGCACAAAATAATTATTTAGGTAAAAAATTCGCTCAATTAAGTTTATTCGGTTATAACTAGTTATACACTATTTACTCACGTCACATTAGCTTCATTAAAAATAATTACTTGCATTGAATGAAATATATAAATCTAATGGTGCAAGTATAAAATGCGTTAAAGCGATACAGTTCAGCACGACAGAGTAAAATACATTTTGCAATTAAAACAGATATTTAAACAGTCAATGGGGGCTTATATAAATATCCGTTTGTTTCTAATGGTTTGCATCAATAACGTTTTTAATTTTTTTTTGTCAAATCTTTACCATGATTTTCCCACTTCATCACAAGATATCTAAAAAAATGGTTCCCAACGAAAATTGCCTAACAAAAAGCGCCTCAAAAGGGTCAACAATTTTCTTTATATCAAAGAAGTAATCATACAAAATAGTCCATGTAACATTTATGCAACAGTTGCGATCTAGAGTGAAAAAAATTTAAATGGTATCAAATTATTCTACCTACTTGGGATGAAACCATTTTAGACAACGTCGCTTTACAATTGAGACAAGTAGCCAAAGTTAATAAGGCATAAAATGATAATGGGCCAGTGATGGAGTTTAACCGCAACGATAGTTACGAGATGAGAAAAAGTGCCCTTTAAATGCAGCTTAATTAAAATACGATTTTACGGCTGAATTCTCTGTTTATATATTCATAGTTGTTTAATTGTCTTAATTCGTTACAGTTATAGGGTTGGCCACGTGAACATGTAAACGGTCAAAAGCCTGAGATTTCTTTCAGCTCCTTTTTTGCATGAATATTCATTCTCTTGCTTCCACCATTAGAACGAAAAGCTTTCGGCTGACATACAAAAAAATCCTATCATACGAAATCAAATGATTTGGAGCAATACATAATCTTGATATTTCCATTTGCTTTGGTGAACTTGTCCGCACTGATCTACAGTGACATTTCTTTTGTTCAATTTTGACTAACTCTGGCTACCTGGTCTAAAGCCGGCGCTATCCTTTCGTACAAAAGGACTTAAATTTTACGAGTGATTTGCTTAAGACTTATTACATTTAAAAACAAATGCATTCATAGCTTTCATTCTGTTTGCCGATCCCTCTGTGCCTATAATTGTATCCTAATGTACTTAAATATCTTTTGTCGGATTCTGCAGACCACCCATGTATCGCACCAGTTGTGGTTTAAATGTTGCTGCTGGAGAGATGGATGGATATTGTATTAAACGCGCTTTTAATGAGAATTGCTTTCAATAAAAATGAGCAAAGTTCTGAAAGCGCATAAATTTAAACATCAAATTATTATTCTTCTTTTTAAGTTATATTAGGAATTTAGTGTTTTGATCCCCTTAAAAGTAAATCTTCCGAAAAATGAAAAATAAGTATATTCACGAACTAACTGCCAAATCTCCTTAAACTGCACTTTTCAAGATTTCCTTCTGGCCCAATTCCATGGCTACAAGAAAGACTATTTCCAACTTTTGAATAATTAACACATTGAACGAGCATGGATCTTCGCAAAGGTAATTCAATTTCCTTGAATTAAAAATTGCTTTTAGGAAGCAGTTTAATTGAACAGTGCACAACTTTAAACCCAGTAGGTGTCGTGATTAATGGGTATTATCAGGAAAAACATATTCCGATACAACAGGAAAATAAAGTAATTTAGTGACAAGACTGAACGAAAATCGATATATTAGGCTACCGAATAGTTCATTAAGTTGTATTCACGTTGACGCAAAAAAATGTTAAAGCAATTTCGTTTCCTATAGACGTCTTCTCATTTTTTACAGTCGAAACCCATACAAAGAATCTCCATCAGAAGGTTAAAGTTTTAAATATCATATTGTATCTCATTCAGAGGATAGATTGCGACTATTAAAGAGAAACGTATTGTGGTAATCAAACAACGTTATATCTTTTTTTGATTGACTATTTAAATTTATTAATTTCGATGCCGTTGTCAATAGACATGATTTCATATGTGAGAACTCAGGGACACCGTATAAGGAAAGGATCGATTACTAAGACAAATGGTAAAACTGCAGAAAGTGCTTCAATTCACGAAATAATTGGCACTTTTTAAATAGCAGACCCACTTGGTGCCTGAATTTCGAATACGCATGCACGACCCTTTCGTGTTTTAAGCATTTTGTCTCAAAACGCCTATAATTGAAGAAATAATGAATAGTATAGGCTGGCTGCTTAAAAAGACACCAAAACAAAACGAGTTGCCCAAGTAATAACAGCTATAATAAAACAGCCCATTAAATCCAAAAACCTTTTCCAAGAATCCTCGTTGCGTGACAATTTCTGTTCAAAATTGAAAATCGTATATTTCTAGGCTTATGGCAGGCGTAATAGGTTTCAAGGGACAATCAGAACGCCGAAAATTTATCGAAAGCCACTTTTATAACCTGTGAACAAGCCGTAATAGGTTGTTATAAATTTTTCCTGTCTTAAGTGTCGCATTAAATGCATGCCTATCCACTCGAAATGAGACAAAACTGTTTTTAATAGCACAGTGCCGGGGCGGAAAATTTGTTTTCTGTCTATTTTTAATTTTTAGCTTCATAAAATAGCTTTCTTTTTAATATTTATTATATTTAATATGTAGACCTTTTTCCTGTGTTCGTTATAAAGTTTTTTAGAAGAACTTAAGCCTCATAAGGGGCGAGCTGATTTTGTTTTATGCCCTATAGTGTATATGTAATTTAGTTTGTTTTCAATTTTATTTCATAAACATCATATATTCTGTTGTATGTTTACTGGTAAACTACTTTATGTCGACGCCATCTCTAGGCAATGAAATCCATTATGGCAGAGTTCATTTAGTAGCGTGAACTCGACCATATAATGAAATGTATTATTCTTTAAAATACCGCTAAAATGGTCTTAGTTTTTACATCCGTAATTAAAGCACACTGTCTAATGACCAATTATGGTTTTTTATCACGACACCGAGCGCAAAGTTATAAAATAAAACGGCTAATTTAATTGTCTATTGTGGAAAATTGCTGTCCAGTATTATAGTTTTTGTTTTGCTGTTGTTTTTATCTGGCGGAATCTTCAGATACGCAGTTATGCGCTAAATACGTTATATATGATTTCGGTGAGTTGTGCATTAAGTCAAGCATATGAACATAACGTTATGTTTATAATACATATCATTAGAATATTTAATCGTACAATTAACAGAATTTGAAAAAAGTTATTGAATTCAGGGCAATTTTGATTTCAAATTATTAGGATCAAATGTTCAATAGAACATAAAAAAAATCGAAATTGATGAGTTTTGCGAGCGTTTAGACCGTTGTTGAAATTTTTTTCTCACGTTTCCCATGCCCGAGTCGACCGCATCTTCAGTTTCACAATGGCGACAAAAGACTCATTTTTGCGATCTATTTGGAAACTGGTGAGTTTTTCGGGCTTTTAGGTCGTCGTGGTAAAGATTTCAGAGGTGGTTTGCTAGACGTAGTAGCGGAGACATTTTGTTGAGCTTGGAAAACAGGGAGGCAAATTTTTGGATGATTAATGCGGGAATCTTCAGGGAAGCTTAAAGGGTCAAATTTCAATGAGTTGAAACTCGGAGCCAATTTTGATTTTTTAACACTAGATAATTTAATGCAATAAATAGCAATTTGTTCGAGCAAATAAGTTCAACGATTAGTAGTACAAAGCACTCAATTGGATTAACGTTTTCGAATATATCGATGAGAAAATGTGCAAGACGAACACTTTTTAACAACAAATCGTTCTAATATAATTATAAACGCCCGTTGATTTATCAAATTAGTGACATCTGGTTAATTTAGCGCAAATTGGTTCACTGAGATATTTTTAGAGAAGGTAATTTCGCTTGGTGAAAGATTCACGCTTCAATATTCGACAAAATTATGGCTAACCTGATTCTTAAAAATACTTACTAGGCCTTTGGTACGTTTGACTAACTATTAAATTCATGATAATTGTGCCGAAATGAAAATGAGATACAGAAATGTGGCAGTAATGAGGCGAACGTATAAAGTGTGAGATTTGAATACATTTTTTTAAGTTGGACTCAGATTGGCTTAACTAATCACATGACCACAGTCAGCTGCGCGTCAGACGCCATTTCATAAGAGTTACAGAGAAAAGCTCCAGCAAAAAGGGAGACAGGGTTTAATAAATTCTAGAAATTTCGATAATTAAACTGAAAAAAAAACTGCAAAGACAATAAATCCCCATTTCAAAGTAAACTCTGTGAAGTGAAGTTGGTCACAAAAACCGCCAACTACCGAAATGCAAAAACAAATTGATAAACCCCCTTTTAGTGTGCAATTTTTAGTTAAAATTTGGAAGCAAGTGGAGGCTGACGATGCGAACGCTGAATGCAGCTCTGTAGCCTTGTAGCATCGGCAAAGTATACAGAGCGGGTGCAGATTTGTCCCTATGAAGGGGTATCGTCACCTACACTTCGCGTCCACCTTTGTCAACCCCCCCTTGCAGCTAGCCCCGCCCCACTAAGTGCGCACGCTGTGAATTACCCCCCACTTTTGTTACAGCATTGGACAAGTTGGGCCTGCGACATCTCTTCAATATCAGTGCTCCTGAGCCGGTGCATGTGAATGTAGCCTTCGACGTAGCTAGTTTAATATTGTACGGATGTCAAGCGTTACCGATCCGCCTAAAAATACTTCTCGATCGATTGTTTTCTGTGCTTCAAAAGGACGAAGTGATTCAAGTGTTGCATGGATTTGGCTGGACAAGTGACGATTACGCCAGAGGATATATTTTGCAGGTTTGTCAAATTTTACTTTCAGATTATCTCGTCTACCATTACCACGGACAATGCATTTTGCGTTTTCTCAATCAACCAGTTACAACTTAGCAACAACTATCGGCCGAAGCGCAATTTTTGGCTATCGTTATCACAAGTACTTTAACTTGAAATTTTAAACATCAACAAGCCAATGCTTACTATACAGCCGGCACAAAAAAGAGACGAAATTGCTGCTACAGATGCTACTTAGACCATAACGAATTTCAATTATTTTTTACGGCCTCTTCCAATCAGTCTACATGATATGACAAAATTACTGGACATGTTTATTTCATAGCCGGCACTTAATTTTTTTTCATACATATTGTCTCCTGAGTTAAATGGAATTTTAAATTACTTTCAGGCGACAGTCCTAATAAAAGATGTTTTATACTGTAAATTGCTAAAAACGGCCATAAATAAATGTTGAATGTATTGCCTTTAGGGCCCCTGTTTCTTCCTCTGCACAATTCTGGACGATATGACATACATATAAATATTAAACGATTCAAAAACCAAGACAACTTTTTGATAATCAAATCAAAATAATCTTTCTATAACTGAAATGCATTACAAATTTACCGTGCTCTCCTTAATGTGAATTTAATTGCAGATTTTTCCTTTCCTTCATCTAAACAGTTATTTATCCATTAGGGGGTATTATAATTTGCCAACAAACCGGTTGTTAAGTTTTCAGGGTGTTTATTTTTCTGTTTTTATGGATTAATGAATGTCGTTTATGTATATGGGTCCAAGTAAACGCATCGTAGAAACAATTACTTAGCACGAATGTGTCTTGGACCCTGATTAATATTTTCGGTTCGCGGTTGGCCATTCCGTGCCTGCAAAAATAACAGACCCTCAAATTACTCACTGTTTTGCATACAATTTTTGGTAACAACTTATTAATCCTTCTGATATAATAGCATTTAATGACAGAGAGCATTAACGGATTGGTTTCCAAATTCTGCCCAAATAATGCTCTTTAATATCTACTTATTTATCAAAAATGAACGCAGAGAACGGCTTTATCTTAGAATAAGTGTCCCCTTTTTCTGCAGCTTAAAGCGTGCAGCTTCCGACGGACTTTTCATCTCATTTTGCCTGAGACATTTCACAGCAATTTTGAAATTTTTCAAACAAAAACCGTCGACATTGCCCTTAACAATACTCGGCTATTTAACTGCTTGATTATTACGGTTTAAATTAGCTGATTTATTTCCTAGGTCAAATGTGACTTCCTACTGGCTGATTTTCACTGTTCGTGGCTTGAATTGAAGTTTTACAGCGGTTGCGATTGCTCACGTATCTTTTTGAAATCTCACTTTATTACCAAGGACAAGCGCAAGAGCGCAAGAATTCATTTCTATATGTCACGATTTTCTTGAGACCGATAAGTTACCGCAGTTACATTGAAGATGGGCATTAGCTACGCATCTTTAACTCATTGTGTAGCAGCTAAATAGCTAGCCACAAAAAAATGTTCCCAGTGAAACCGAATTCCAATGATTAAAAAGCAATTATAAATATCGAAGATCCCGAACAAAAACACGGTGTACACAACTGAGTCGAAGCGAGACTCATAAGGCGTGAAATTTTAAAGATAAATAACTCTGGACCCAATTTTCGGAACTCGTCATACAATTAAATTCTTTAAATAACCGACCAATTTTGTTTTTATTTAGTCACGTATTATGAAAAATATTAAACTTGCAAAAAATCTTCTTGGAACACATCTTCAGTGCTAAATTGGATGCTGTTTTTTCCGACGGAAGCTGTCCGGCTGCTGAGAATGTCCCAGTATAGCTTAATATTAATAATTGCCTTAATATTTATTTGAGCTGTCTCCTAAATTGCGTATAGGGAGGAGGAAGGGCAATGTGCTATTAGAAGAAGTAGTTTTAAGTTCTTAACTAACCTTCAATAATTTACCATAATGATATGCAATATTGCGACTGAGATAAAGTGCGAAAAACTTATCAAATTAACAAAATCTGAGTGGATTTTGCCCGAAATCTTAGGTTCATTGCTGCAGGTCAGGAAAATTCGATAATCCTTCTTAAAACTGCAAGTGAAATTTTGCTCAATTAGAAGCGGCTTAATTAGTTAATCCTGCCTGCTTCTCGGTTATCACGTCAATCTTTTTCGGATAATTATTTAATTAATTGATATGCAACATTTCAGCCAATTACATACAGGGTGGATACCGTGAAAATTTTACAGAAGTCCTGGATTTTAAAAGACTTTCCTGCCTTGGTGTCGGTTAAAACAGACAATGGCCACGTTACAAATCTTTGATCATTCATTAAATATCTGCATGGGATTGTTTCAAGTTTAAATTAGAATGGGACGTAAACATAGAGGGTTCAGGAATAAAGTGGAGCAATATTTTGTCGTCATCATTAGCAAAGTAAACGTGCCTAAAGGTAAATAATGATTAGCCGAAAGTTCGTCGACGTACATCAAGCAGGCGAGTTTAATGAATGTCATATATAAATAGTATAGTTTGATTATGCACTTCTAATAGATGTCTGTGTTTGTTTGATATAGATTAAGGCTAAGAGGGGCAGGTGACTATCACCCCGTTTATTTATGGACGAGCGGGAGACATTCTGCAGACTTCGTTTCTAAACAAGAGCGTTAGCGCTATCGAATCGAAAGTATATTTTTATACACCGCGTTTGTAAAATATACAGACGACGTCGACCTTCTCTTTTGAATCACCAGCTATGTTTTCCCGTTCCGCCAAGTGATTTTTAAATAACTTAGACCCTAATTCAAAGAGGCATGTGCCAACAACATAGCCATTTCCGCTCTACTGCGCGATTGTTTGACTAATTTCCGTCCTCTGGTTGCAGGAGTCATACGGCAGCACTCTGGACCGATGGAGCATCTGTAATCCAGAGGAGGAGCCACTGGTCCTCCAACAATTTCTCAGATTTGGAGAAACTAGAGCCATAACGCAGCAATTGCTTCTGGCGCAACAGGCACTTCAGGAGCGCACCCTGGAGCGTCTGGAGCGCCGTCACTCGCCGCACCATCGGGCAATGTCCCCTAGTCGTCGTCCATCTCCGCCCAACGTTCATCCATCAGTCTTCCACTCACAAGTGCACGCTATGTCTCCACACCAAAAGCATCCCTTGGGCTTTCTCAAGATGCCACCAGTTTCCAATGGTCCAATTTCTTCAAACACACCTCCTAATACTATGGCCAGTAGTCCATTGAATCGACTTCAAAGTATGACGTTCGATTATCGCAAACTTAGCTCGGCAGGCCTGCCAGCTTTCCCTAACCGCGTCAGTCCTGATGTTGGAAGACGACGAACTGACAACGAATCGGTCGGTTTGAATTTAAGCATATCAACTTCTTTGGCCAACTGTTTGCCGCCTCCCCATCCACCGACATCATTAAGCCACTCGGCTGCTGCAATGGCTGTGTCTGCAAACGCGTTGGCTGCAGCCAATTTAGTAGCATCTTCATTTCCTGCTCTAATGTCGACCCGAATGTCTACCGGAAGCAAATCACCGTCAAGTGCTGAATTATTTCCTGGCAACGCTAATAGCGAGGAAGATGATGATGCCGACGAGAATTCTCATAGTGCGCTGAATTTAAGTCGGGATAGAGACTCTCTAAAAAATCTAAAACAACCCCGTTTGTTACCAGGACGTAAACCATCCTCACCAACTAAAAGACAGTGGGGTTCGCCAAGTTTACCGCTTAATTTGGGTACTCAATTCATTAACCCGGCAACTGGCAAGAAAAGAGTGCAGTGCAACGTTTGTCTAAAAACATTTTGCGATAAAGGTGCGTTAAAAATACATTTTTCGGCTGTTCATTTGCGAGAAATGCATAAATGTACAGTTGAAGGCTGTAACATGATGTTCAGTTCGCGGAGATCCCGAAATAGACATAGCGCAAATCCAAATCCGAAACTGCATTCTCCTCATCTTCGAAGAAAAATATCACCTCATGATGGACGAAGTTCACAATCTCACCCCATACTGATTCCACCTCAAACCGGGCTGGGCTTACCAGCAGCTGCAGCATTAAATCCACTAAACCCATTCGGTCCATTTCCACTTTTGACGCCTCCTCCAGATATGAAATATCACTCGTTAGCCACAATGGACTTCAAGCAGACACTCGACTTGAGCATTCAAAGAAGTATAGAAGAAAGTAAAACTACCGTCAAAGACTTTAGCGCTTTAGCTCTAACTTCCTCCAATAACCATCATCAATCAGACGAGGACGAAGATGACGAGGAGGGTATTGTAGTGGTAGGAGGAGATGATGACGATGATATTCCCAATGAGAAAAATCACTATGCAGAAAAGGAAGAAATGAAATATGAGCAACGTAATTCTGTGGAACGTGATAATGACCATATTCACAAATCACCTAGTCAAGAGCTCCGACCTTCTTTGGAGGCTTCCGAAGTCGTAATGGAACGTGTTGAAATCCCCCGAGCTCATAGTCCTATACGGCCTCAACCAATTTCCGACCAACCTGAAGACTTCAGCATGCCTGCTAAAAAGCAAAAAATGTCGATATCCGATGCAGATGAAGAAATCCTAAGTAACATTGACAGCAATGAGGATTCCTTAAGCATTATAGATAATCAAAGCTTAAAAGATGAGGTCAGTAGCGTACCGACAAACAAACGAAAGAGAAAAAGCCAAAATCCTACTCGTTGTGCATTACCTCCAATGTTAGATGACCCTGTAAGCGACGGGGACTCGTCAAGCGACGTTTTCGCTGAACGATTAGCTGAATCTACACGCCGACTTGAAATGGAAGCCAAAATAGAACCCAAAAGAGAAGTGAAGGAAGAAAATAGATGTGAATCTCCTTTAGACTTAGGGAAAAGAAGTCCCGATGTCAATGCGAACGAACGCGAAAAAGTCATCGGTAGTGAAATTAAAACCTCATTAGCTCCACTGTTTTCAATAGACAAATTAAAAAAGGAAAAGCTAAATCATGATTTTGACGCAGCTGAAGACACCGAAGACCGTCCAGCCAGTTCAGTGGAAAGCAATAAAAGTGATGAGTCCTTCGATTCGTCTAATGCATTGCGCCACTTAGAGAGTCTTTCTCATGGCAATTTTAGCGAATGGATGTCGAAAGGGTTACACTTGGGACTAGGGGCACCTGGTAGTCAATTCCCTCCGTTGGGGTTTATGATGAGTGGTGGGCCTCCCAGTCCAGCTCGCTCACAAACTTCTTCCGCTGGAAGCAGCAACGGAGGGGAATCAGCAGACGAAAATAGTCAAAATCAGCTGTACGGACACTTTGATAATGGACAATTTATTAGTACCATGGATGTGCCAATTGACAAAGACAACCCCAGAAGATGTACAGCATGCGGCAAAATATTCCAAAACCATTTCGGCGTAAAGACGCACTATCAGAATGTTCATCTGAAGCTTATGCACAAGTGCAATGTTGATGGTTGTAATGCCGCGTTTCCCTCAAAACGAAGCAGAGACCGGCATAGCGCCAACTTAAACTTGCACAGAAAACTTCTTTCGACGAGTTCAGATAAAGGCAGTCCTGGATTATCGCCCTTTGCCAGCTTTGCGACAAATCCAGCTTTACATGGAGACTTTTTAGCAAGATTGTATGCCGATGAAGCTTTCAAGAACCACCACTTGCCCCCCAATATTGACCAACTCATGCTCAATGGAGACCGAATTCCTCCGCCTCCTCTGCTGTTGCCTCCCCCATTGGGCGTCTTGCCATTTCCTCTAGGAAATTTCAGTCATTTCGGCCAATTTAATGGCTCATCTTTAGCTAAAGAACGGTCTTCCACTTCAAGTTCTCCAGTATCTTCATCACCACCTCCGTCAAATGTTCCATCTAGTCCTCCGAAATATATTCATTGTGTAGAAGAAGACCTACCCACTCCTGACAAGGAAGGCAATCTACCATGCAGATTTTGCCGAACATCTTTTAGTACGCAGCTTCAATTGAAGGAGCATTGTGAGAAAAACCACCTATCTGAAATGTTCAAATGTACAATAATAGGATGTCCAAAAGTATTTGTGTCCCGAACGCGAAGAAATATCCACTCGGAAAATGAGTCGCTTCATGTAAAAAAAGAGTCGGATGTATCGTGACCTCTAAGTAACGGGTTAGCTTTAAGAACTATACCTCTTTGGTGGTGATTGATCTGTTAAAGTACTTATCCGAAGTTAAATAAGTTTGACATGTGATTTTTAGATTAATTGAGTTAGATTTAATGGATATTTGACTGCAAAATGATAAAAACATTGAAGCAAATCGTTATTCATAGCTTGGTTCTTTAGATCTTTCCGTTTCGATAGTTTTATTATTTTGTAGTTCAAAACTACACCTTTAAGCCAGTTGTTTTTAATTTATTATGCTTGTACAAAAGATTCATCTAAATGTAAATTTATTAGCCAGTCGTGCGAAATACTCATTTGTTTTGTAAATATATACCGTAGTTTAGTGATCTCTAGTACGTTGTGATGTATCAGATGCTATCCATGTAAAACTATGTTAAAATTGCTCATTTTTATAATCGAATTGAACCTTATACAAATCTCTAATGGAACTTGTTTGATCCCTAGTCACACAATGAAATATTATTGGTGAAAAGGCTCAAAATATCAATTTTATATGATCTGTATGTTGGCCTGTAGAGAAAACTACGTTACCACTTTAAAAGATCATTATCCGTATATATCCATCACTGTGAAAAATTTAATCCTAATTAAAATGTATGTAAATGTGCAATAACTTTGTATATATGCTATCTGCCGCTATGTGTATAGATGTAAATAGTTATTAAAAGGATACTGAACGATTTCCTTAAGGTATACGAACAATAAACAGTTTTATTCTTTCCTAAAATATTATTTATTGATGATTTTTGTAAAGCTGATAAGTTGGAACGTCGCTTGTGTACACACGCAAAACATTTCCCATTAACCAAGTACATCTTCATTAATCGTATCATGCAAGATCGGAAGCCTACACCTACACACTAGCAAATATTTGAAGATGTATTTACTTAATGCAGATGTTTTGTTGTGGTTAATTGAACTGAGAAATGTGTTGTTTCATTTTAAAGCCAAGTTTACCGAAATGTTATTTTTATCAGCACTTTTTAAATGATTTTGTTATTGCACCCATTATGTACAGAAATATGTATCGCCTTTGGGCACGATAAAATATAGCTGTCTTAAATGATTATTGTGTTTTATTTTTGCCTGATCTTAAGCAAACAGAACCTAAGGCCATTTAGAATTCAATTTATCAAGTAACCATATATTCGAAACACTTGTGGCTTATTTAGGGTATGTGAAGGTTGTAAACTGACTTGAAATAGTCGAATACCACTAAATACTTAAGAATGTTGACGCTTGAGGCGAAGACCTAGATAGGTGTTGTGGAAAGGGATGCTTGATTTTTTCCTTCTTTAGACAACGTAGGTGCGCAATTTTCAGGCAAGGGTCTTATCATAGAAGGGATGATATGATAGGTCAGTTAAGTGGTTTCCCTTGGAAGAACTGAGTTGAAACGCCAGAAAGCTCAATTAGGGGCAACGGCGGTTAATGTGGGTCCCCGAAGTCAAAAGCAAAGGACAGTCTTCCCAATAAGTAATTGATGAAAATGTTCAGGGGTTATGTTTTGATAAGTGTTCTATTTAAATGAACCGATCCATTTTGTGACCTTGAAGGCAATGCGGCTAGGCCTGTCTTGGCAAAGGGGCCCGCAGCCCTGTAAATAATGAGTCTGTGTGACTTACTACGGGGGGGCATGCGAGTTTCCGCCCCAGGGGGCCGTATTCATTTCCAATCACCACTGGATACTGACTGAATCCGTTTTAATTTTCTATAAAGAATTATTGTTTTATAACACTTTGTTAGCTAATCGGCAAAATAATTGTTTGGCTTGACCAGTAATTAATAACTTGGCTTAATTGTTTCGTTTTGCCTCGGCCTTCGAGTCCGACAAGGGCGAGGTCAGATCTTCTACCTTAAGATTACTTACTAATGATGGTCGAGTATATGAAATGAAAACTTCGCCGTTCCTCGAGTTTACTATACAGATTTAATACAGAGCCGGATTCTATTAAGCGCACTAAAAACTACTGATTAATAAAACGTTGCAACACTTGACATAATATGAATTTATGAAAACTGGACCCTTTTTCCGTTTTATCGGGTCCAAGATAGTTCTCTGAAAACGTGAAACATGTGTGACACGCTAATAACACGGTGTGACCAGCGGCCAAATTTTGACAAGGGTCAACGGTGCCGTTCTGGGAATATAGCAATTAAGGATTTGTTAAATTATATGTAATTTCCGAAATGTCTTAGAAAATTAATTGTGATTTAATCGGAAAAAGTCATTTTGGGCAACTTGCCCTCGGGGTACCCGCAGACTTTAGATCTGCCATTAGATGCTTTTATAGGTTTCCTGCTCATGATTGTCCAATGCACATTTTAACATAAAATTGTTCGAAATTTCAATAGTTATTTTAATAGCTATTATGACAATAACTTAAAGACTTCCAAAAGTTTGATGTTGCAGCAAAAAACGTTGTGTTCAATTTGAAACCGCTTTGAGGATATTTACTCAAGTTTATATTAATTTTTGTGCTTCCATGTAAGTATATGAATTAATTAGAGCTTATCCATTTATAATCCATTCATTAATGAATTCATTGATTGAATCAGAAGCCAACATTATCGGGTTCAATAAAATGTGCAAGTGTGCAATTGAAAAATGTAGTACCGTTTCGAGATCATAGGGTTTTCAAGTGATCTCATTTACATAAATATTTCCCTGGAGGAAGATCAGAAGAACCATCGTTCGCATGTGAAAAGCAAAACGAAATTAGTGCCTTTAATCTGCTGGATGTGGTTAATTAGACAGTTATGTAACATATGAGTGAGAAAATCGATCTATCGTACAAATCGCAGGCAATTTAAGCCTGAAATGTCACGTTTTGCATTAACTTTACTGATTTGGCGACTACTACTGCTTTTTCGTGATGCAGGTAAACGTAATTGGGATCGAACTATCCACACTCAGCTTCTTAATGGCATAGGCGTCAAAAACATTTTTACTGGGTTTTTTATACATATTCGAAAAAAAAAATAATTTAAGCACTATTGGCTCGTAATTACATTTTCATTCGCACACCAGTAACATTTAACGCCTTATTTCATGCCACTTATAATAACTAGGTAGTGTTATAAATTTGCGACACGGTGTTAATGATCGGTCTTTAGATAAACCAGGTGCCCCGGAAGTGACTTAGGGTAGTGGCACGGTTCAATCCCCAATTTAACCCCTACGCAACGTGTGTGCATGTAAACACAATTTGTCCGATTTACAGATAACGTCAGGCCGCCGCATGTTATTTCTTTTACATTAAAAATATCTCAGAGCATTAGAACAGGAAATTAAAAAAGAGGATCTCCTTTCTAATCATGAGAAAGAATTACACCTTCATGCAAATGTTGGTAAAAGCACACATGGTTTTCCAGAAAAAAAAATTAAATTTTAATATTCAATTTTATTATTAGCAAAAGTATACATTTTTAGGTGTTTCGCAATAATTTAAATTCTTCTTAAATAGACTTAACTCAATAGTTGGAAATATTGGATATATTAGACATAGGAGATATTGGACAAAGGAAATATTGTCCAAAAATATGCTCGTTATAGCCACTTTGAATCATCCTTCACGACTCAAGATATAACACGATAAAAATACAAATCAAACATTTAGCTCAGGCAAAGGGACATGCAGACACGCTTAGTCTTTTGCACTATTAGAATAATCATGGAAAGGCCAATAAATTTCAAAATGATAAGATCGCCATTTCAGCTTGTCAACAATTAGTAGTCCCGTGACTTAGTTGATATGTTTTTAATTAATTTCGAGTTTGGAGTACCTAATTATTTTATACGCTTTTTCACAAATTGTTTCCTTATTTTCCTCAGAACTATTTCCTCAATATCGGTTGACAGTTTCCGTTACTTTGGAATCATTTGGAGGCGAAAACATCACATGTTTGAATGATTATTAATTTGGTAAAAAAGTATTTTTGGCGCCAATGAAAGGATCCACCTTTTTTGAATACGCCGCTGTTCAGCTGTCTGATTTTCGAATATAATTTCCATTGCAAATTGAGTAGAAACAGGCAATTTTGTCGAAAACTAAAAATTTTTAGATATTCATTCACCAAAATGCAAATAGGATGTCGTGTAAGGTTGCAAACAATTTGCGAATTTTACGCATGCACCACTGGAGCTTTAATTATATTTAAGACCCTTGTAAATAATCTATTATTATTTTCTAAATAACTATCTCGACTCGCACTCACCGACAAAACTTTGCGTGGTTCCCGTACAATTACGGATTAAGCAAAAAGACTCACATTTAATTGCCTCAGTTACAAACGTTTTACACAGCCAATTGCTTTCGATTATATGTCAGTGATACGTAATTTTTGGTCATTTTAATAACACGCGTTCTGATATAGACGATGAGATATTTTAGAATGCCATTTTATTAGCTGTTGAAAAATTATACAGAACGGGTTCGTTTGCATAATTCAAGACCAGTACAATTTTAAAAATATTTTAAGGAGTTTATTAAGATGCTTAATGCACTTTAAAGTCGTATTACGTAGCACAAATGACGTGGAAATGGAACAGGGACCTCTGACCCAGCGATTCGTCATTCCATAAACCACAATTCCATATTTCATGGGAACGATAGTGAGTTATTGATGAAAAAGTATATCTATATGTATCACGAACTTTGCTCGGCCTTTTCCTACATTTTCTTTTCATTGTTTCGCACCCTCTTTGTCGCAAATCCTCCAGAGGATTCGAGCTATTGTCCAAACCGAGGAAACTTGGAAAAAGAATACAAAATTTGACGAATCACCTTTTCAGTGAGTAATCTTCAGTTTTATATTCATCCATCATATATTTCTCGCACGTGTCTCACATAACGAAAGGACTGAAGTATTTAAAAGTATCTACATAAACTGAAAAAATTTATAGACAAGGACGTGGTCATTTACGTTACCTCGGATAAAAAGTGCGATTTGAGGTATAGTCTGCCCCAAGTTTTTGGCAGTTCTCGCAATAACTGACGTTTTTTCGCTATTACTTGTTCATCGAGCGAAACGAAATTTTATAACTTTCATCATTGCTACGATCGTGGAATTTTCTAAACCTACGAAAGCGAAATAAAGTATCCGAAAGGAATCCGTTTGCGAAGTGATTTGCTAACGACAAAATAAATATCATCACAACAAAAATTGCCGGTATATTTCGCAATTTTAAATAAGTTAGAGGAGATTTCATGTGGTAGTTATTACACATTAATCATCGTCATCTATCATCCAGATTTAATTAATCCATCTAATTTGCAAACACAAAAGAAGCAAGTCAATTATATATGATCGAACCAAGTAAAGCAATTTTCTGACACACTGTATATAAACTGAAAGACGATTCAAAAATGGCCAGACATCGTTTAATCATTGTCAGGCCACGGCAGAGCGTTTGACAAAAGAATTCATTTTATTTTCTTTTGGCATAAAATTGATGAGGAGCGCATTCGGTTTTAGACAAAAGCCAATCAAAAACGCTCATTATTGTCAGTAGGAGGGACATGCACGGCAATTACAGTGTTAATAACAAATAGGAGGTGATTATTATTATTACATAAGGAGCCGTTAGATGACCGACGATGGATCCTTTGAAAACAATGGCATAATAACAAAAGTATGCATTTAGTAGATGGTATCAGCACATAAGTATTAGACTGTATTCAAATTAGATATTTTGTTACAACAAAAGCAACTGCGATAATGCATGATGGAAGAAATAAAAAATACGCTGCGATGTCAAAGGCACAGTAGGTGGTTATTTTTTAAGATAAAATAGCTTCAAAGTGGCTTAAAAAATAAATCAACTGAGTTGTAATTTTTCTAAGCATCTAAGCAAAAGGACAGCAGAGTGCTAAATACTCGGGCCGCGTCCTAGATAACGTGTATTATCTATATAAATTATAAGTAAGACTTTATGGCCAGTAAATAACCACTTGTCGTCCTGCTAAGACCGAGTGCTTTGCTACGGAAGTGCCAGATATCATCTCCGCTAAAGTCCAGTGTCTCTGTCTGAAATATGGGCTCATATATCACATGGGCTGATGAC